GTACTTTTACTCAGTATTAAAATTTGATTCTTGAAGAAGTACAAAGTCAACTTTTTATTCAAATATAATCTGAAGATAAGAATAAATGCAATTTAAGTTTCTATTCACATTATTTTGAATAAATATGATTTTTGAAGAGTTTTTAAACTTTTTTTGTTATTTTTGTTGTACATTCATACTAAAAGAGAGTGAAGATATAGTAGAATCTAATTATTATCATCAGATAGTAGATTATAACTATTTTAAAAAGCAGGAATCTCAACTGCTTGCATTCTATCTAGTTTATTATCAGAGTCATTTCTTAATTCTCTAATCTTAATAGATATTTAAGAATTCAAATTCTATTTACATTTAGCTGGAGAATTAGAGTTTGAAAATCTAGATAGTTAAGAGTTTCTTCTTTTTAAGCTTATAGTTATGAATTTACTAGCTTGACTTTTCTCTTCAGTTTTAGATTCACTTTAAGCTTCATCTTTTCTTCAGTTCTTCTGAGTTCTTGAAGTAAATACACATTCTTTTGAGCTAGATACATATTTTTCTTTACAATTGAAGCACTTAAGCAGAGTATATTGATATATTTCATCTCTTTTTGAGCATATTTCACATTTATACTTACTAGTTTTATAATCTCTAGTATAGAATATGTATTTTGAGTCTCTGAAATAAGAGATTGTAAAGTATTCATATCTTTGACAGTTTGAACACTGTGTTTGAGCTTTGAGATTCATTCTTGAATCTTTGTATTCATGAACTCTCATTTTCAAATCTGCTATTCTTACTTCAGAGATTCTTGATTGTTTAAGTATCTTTATATATACTAGAACAGAGATATTTCTTCTGCTCTGTCTGAACTCAATTGAATTAAGTTATACAGACTCTTTTCTCAGTTGAATAGAATTGTATTCTTCTAATTCATTTTTGAGAAGCAGCATTTCTTTCTCACAGTTAAAAATTTCAACTGAAATATTATAAAGAATGAATTTATCTCACTTTTCATCTCTTTCAGATAGAATTATTGTACTCAGTAGAGATTCTATTACTGATTTTCAGAGATTCTTATTCTGAATAAGGAATTCTGCACTGAATTCAGACATTGTAGTCAAAATAATAGAGTTTTCAAAGAAAGATAACTCAATTAAAGCTATGACTGATTTTTAAACTTTAATATCAGTCATTAACTGAGAAAAGAACTGCTGATTAATTTCATTTCTAATTCTGAAAATGAGATTTGAGTTTAGCTTGTTTTTTTACAAGCTCTTCTGATTTGAGACTTTGAGAATAAGTCTTCTATTTCTGAAGATTTGAAAGTTCTTCTCTTTTTGCATTTCTTTTTTTTTCTTTCTATGAACAGAGATCTGAGAAATATTCTTCTCAGTTTTCTCAGAATTTTGAGCAGATTTTGAACTAGCAGGTTTGAAGACAGCAGATTCTGCTACTTGAGCATATATTTTCTTCTGATTTGAAGAAGAAGATGAAGAAGTAGAAGATGAAAAAGAGTCAGTGACTGTACTGAAAGATTTCAATGTTTTTTAAATTATGTTTGAAATTTCAAGTTTGAACTTGATCACTTCTTGTAGTTATCTAGCCTGAGCATGAAGAATTAACAGAACTTCTTCATTCTTCTCACTCAGACACTGTTTTTCAAGAATTTTGCTTGCTTTTTTCAGTTTCTGTATTTCAAGAACTTGTTATTTCTCTATTTCTTCTTTCTTTCTTCTCTTCAGAATTTCAATCTCAGGAATAGTATTTGAGAAAGCATCTTTTTTCACATTAACTGAGTGTACTTTTGAACTCATTGTTCTTACTCAATGAAAAGTTGGTCAGACTAATTCAATTAAGATATTTATTAAACTCTTTTGAATTGAAAAGTTGATCAGACTGTTTCAATTAAGAGATTTCTAAGTCTGTTTTCAATTGAAAAGTTGATCAGACTATTTCAAAAGAAGAATAGCAGACTTTTATGTATAAAACACCTGATTTTTTTCACACTAGTTCAGTAACTAGATTAGATTTTTGAAGAGAATCTAATAAACTAAAATTAATTTTTAAGATAAATCAATAAAATCTTTACAATCTCTTTCTTGAGATACAGTGAGAAAAAATATGATATTAATTGATAGTAAATCAGATAATATGACAGTTTTTAAGAGAAAAACTGATAAAAAATAAATTAATTTTTTGCACACACTGAGTGCAATCTTTTATATCATGATTTTGATGTTTACAGTTGAAGCAAGCTTGATGCTCACAATATCAAGATTTTCACTCAGAGAATCTCTTTTTCAGAGAATTTAATGGGATAACTCCACCACCACACGAGGTATGCGGTCGGCGATGGGGTCAAAATACTCGTATGATCGAGGGCTTTTCAATGAATCTATCGGCGGGTTCTTATTCGAAAAATCGAGCGAGTTCGTGGTGGAGTGATTCGTGATGTCCTGATTTAAGACTTTGAGAATAAGTCTTCTATTTCTAGAGATTTGAAGATTTTTCTCTTCTTGCATTTTTTTTCTCACTCATCTATTAATAGAAGTATGAGCAGTATTCTTCTCAGTTTTCTCAGAATTTTGAGCAGATTTTAAGATAGCAGATTTATAGATAGCAGATTTAGAGATAGCAGATTCAGCTGCTTGAGTATATATTTTTTTCTGATTTAAAGAAGAAGAAGAAGAAGAAGTAGAAAAGAAAGAAGAGTAAACTGAAGAGTCAGTGATTATATTAGAAATTTTCAAAGTTTTTAGAACTGTGTTTGAAATTTCAAGTTTGAACTTAATCATTTTCTGTAGTTATCTAGTCTGAGTATGAAGAATTAACAGAACTTCTTCATTCATCTCACTCAGATACTGCTTTTCAAGAATTTTACTTACTTTTTCAAGTTTCTGTATTTTAAGAACTTGTTATTTCTCTATTTCTTCTTTCTTTCTTCTCTTCAGAATTTCAATCTTAGAAATAGTATTTGAGAAAGCATTCTTTTTCACATTAACTGAGTATACTTTTGAACTTATTATTCTTACTTAATGAAAAGTTGATCAGACTAATTTAATTGAGATATTTATTAAACTCTTTTGAATTGAAAAGTTAGTCAGACTGTTTTAATTAAGAGATTTCTAAGTCTGTTTTCAATTGAAAAGTTGATCAGATTATTTTAAAAGAAGAATAGCAGACTTTTATGTATAAAATACCTGATTTTTTTCACACTAGTTCAGTAACTAGGTTAGATTTTTGAAGAGAATCTAATAAACTAAAATTGATTTTTAAGATAAATCAATAAAATCTTTACAATCTCTTTCTTGAGATACAGTGAGAAAAAATATGATATTAATTGATAGTAAATCAGATAATATGACAGTTTTTAAGAGAAAAACTGATAAAAAATAAATTAATTTTTTGCAGAGAAATTGATTAAAACTATTCAATTTTATTCTAAATTATTCAATTCTTCTCACACAACAAGTGTGCAACTCAAATCAGTTAATAAAGAGTGTAAAAAAGAATTAAGTATTAATGAAAGCTCTTCAGTCACTGAAAAAGTAATTCTTACTTAAAAGAATATGAAATTATGATAGAAAATAACTCTGTTTTTAATTCTTTGTAAGAATATTATATAAAACTCAGAGAAAAACATCTTACTTTTTTAAGAAAAGTAAAAAACTATTTCTAAGATCTTTTCTTTTTGCATTAACTGTTGCAGAAGAATGAGATAGAAACTGCTAAGATATACACTACTATATACTCTCTATCAAGACTTTTTCTCTTCAGAGTTTTAATATTATAGAGAATATAAGTCTGTTTCTATATAATAATATAAATATTATCAGTGAGATGTAGAGAAACTAGTTATTTATATTTTAAAATAGAAGACTTTGTCAATGATTATATTAATATAGAGTTAATTCTTAAATTTAATAGAAATCTAGTATTACTGTTCTCAATTTCTTGCAGAATCTATTGAATATTAAGATATTAAAACTAGATTTAATATATCTCACTGTACAGAGATTAAAGGCTCAGTCAGATCTTGAAATATACTGATTTTATAGTTATCATATCTGCTGATTATGTATTAAGTACAGTTACTGAGATATCTCTTTGTATTTTTCTGCTGAGAATGAGCCAGATCCAGATTAAGAGAGGTGATATGAGAGTGAGACTTGATATTGATGTCTAGATACACTGAAGACAGACTGCAGATGTTGCACTTCAGAAGTGATCATTGATTATATACTTGATATTAGACTAATTATGTGACTGTGTCTGAAATCAGAACCAGAATTTTTGATAGTCTCATTATCAATTCAACAGATTCTATTATACAGTTTTAATATTAGATAGTAGTCTCATATTATTTCAGTGAAACTTACTGTCTACTCTTATTACATTTTTCAAATGAGATCATGATTTTCACTTCTCAATTTAAATTATTTTTATTGCTTTAAATGACTTTAAATCTTATTTAAGTGTTATCAAAAAGTGTTACTTTTTAAAAAATTAAAAATAGTCTAAAAAAAACCTTAAAATGTCTAAAAATAGTAACTTTATGCTAAGAATGAGACTAAATGAGATCAAATGAGATCACTTTCTCATTTTTTTCAAGTCATGATTTCATTTTGAGATCTGATATATAGTCACTTTACATATTTATTTAATGATTAGTCTCAGCAGAATTCACATCAAGAAATATATAAGACTAGATTAAATGAGATTAAATATGAAATTCATGGTCCCAGCAGCCAGTCTACTTAATATTATCATCAAGATATCTTTTTGTATTTTTCTGCCGGGGATGGGCCAGATTGAGAAGGGCGGTACAAGGGTAGAACTTGGTATTGATGTTCTAGAATATCAAAGATGAACAGGGTTTTCATGAAGATTGCTTCTCAGATATCTTCATAATTACAGATCAGAAGTCTTTCAAAATTGAGAATATTGATGCATATGACTAGGTCTCTTCATCTTACAATTTGTATGACAATCTGGCCTGGGGTTGTGATGTGATAGGGAAGAATGAGGGATAATTTCACACAGAAGTTTTGAACAACATCTGATTCACATTTGACTGAATAACTTCATCATCACACAGAGTATACAGTCAGTGATGGTCAAAATGCTTATATAATCAAGGACTTTTCAATGAATCTATCAGCAGGTTCTTATTTGAAAAATTGAGTGAGTTTGTGATGAAGCAGTTGATTGAAAGATATCTTATAATTATATACTTTTATATCTAAGAAACTGAGTTCTGCTGAATGCAACTATAAGATCTATAATAAGAAACTTCTTATAATTATACACTGTCTAGAAGAATGAGACTCTGAACTCTGAAGCATCTTCAAATTTAAGATAATCACAGATTATAAGAATCTTAAGTACTTTATAACTACTTATAAACTCACTGAATAACAGATATAATAATCTAAGTTTTTAAGTTACTTTTATTTTATAATACACTACTATTCTGACAGTCAGAACTCAATAATAGATACTCTCTTATAATGAGAGTAAGATATATTATTCAATATAGCAGATACTTACTAAATAAACTGAGAGCATCAGCTTTTAAATTCAAAGATATTAGTTAATCAAGA